GCATTTATGAAAATAGAAACTATAAAACGAAGTTGTGTTGAAATTCTTGAAACTGTTTGACTAGACTTGAACACTAGTTTCAATTTGTTTCATATAAAATTATTGTGTTAAACAATTGCTTTTTTGGTGGACATTTAGGTTTCTTTTATTCTGTTATTATGTTGATCTTTTAAATAAATTAATACATAACTATGGACAATAGAAAAACTGTTGCGCAACATAAAAGTATATCCAAATCCGTAGGACCCTGTAAATATTTCTTTATAGCATATTAAAGTGTTAAGTTTCGGAACAAATTAAAATTATTTCAATATATGGATGAGATCTTTAGTTTAAAAGAACTGTTAGAGGAAATCGAAAAGGATCTCAGTCTAAAAAAGATCCTAAGTTCTTCTCTCAATCTTCGCAAAGAAGAGGAATCGGTAGAGATGAGTATAGAAACCAACCACGGGGGGGAATTGGAAGCTCAGGCTAAGGATTCTACAGACAACCCTCCGTCGCAGTTAAATTACCTCGGCTGAACTCCACCTTACTCTAGAAGAGGGCGGCTACGATGTGGGCGATTTGCAATAATAATAACTCCGACGACAGATCTTGAAGCAATACTCAACTTGATCTCTTTGCAGGAAATATGGCGGCAAAACGACCAAACGGCTAAGCACCACTGGGCAAGTTACCCGAAGATCTCTCGAGTATAACATTCGCGGTTTGGATTATATGATCTCGATCATATATCCCGGAAAAACGACAAGAAATGTGATTGAAAATGAAGGATGGAAAAAAGTATGGTACCAAAATGCAACACCATTAATGTTTTTATAGACGGTTCAAAGAGGTTTCCAGAGTTTGTCAAATTCAATCGAACGGAGATATAAAGTCAATGAATGACAAATAAAGCGTTCACAGTCTATACTAAAATTTCTATACACAATTTATACAAGCATTGCCTTTATTCTCTTCATTGTCTTCCTCAAGTGTTTCTTGGTCACTTGATCTTATGCTATGTAAATAAATATTATATTTATAAAAGACACATCATATATTCAATTATTAGGAAGAATGTGCAATATAAAAAAAAAAACCAAACAAATCGCTTACACTTATTACTGCATACTACTTAAATCCTTCAAAGTCAACACTTAAGTAGAAAAGTAACTACGTCATGTATTCAGATTCTTCATTATGTCTTTATTTATATATTATAACTTCTGAATAATATATTCTGTTAAATAGATAAATTTATTACAGAAACTAACCATATTGTGTGTGTTTTTTATAGAATTATGAACTATTTTCTTCTTTGACAGCTTTTTCTTTTCTTCGGACAGCATTTTTCTTTTATGAGTAATATAATGAGTTAATTATTATGTAGATACTTAACAGAAATCAGTACCTTTATTTTTAATTCTTCAACTATTTAATATATAAAAGAAAGAAACACTGTCACATAATATTTGCTCAAATTCACTAGAACTACAAATATTTCTTGTTTAGCAGTGTACATATAAAAAAAAAATTTCTCATAAAAGCTTTACGATGTATTGGAATCATATTATTTATAAAATTGGAATCATAATATTTATTGAATTGTTTTTTGTATTTATCAATTTAGTGTTTAAATTAGAAAAGATATTCTAAGCTAAAAGGCAGATTAACCGGCTGGCTCATCGCATATGTAGATCTTCTCTGTCATGAAACCTTTATGTACCATTGGATATAAAATGGAAATATGAATTATAATTTAATAAAGCGGGAACCAACTAGCATCTGTATTCCTTCCTCCAGGAGTGCCTCACTCAGGAGTGCCTCATTTTGTTTAAAGTATGATAAGCCGAATATTGGTACCGAAATATCGTTCTTTCGTTACTTGAGTTCTTGTAAATGGAGCTAAAGAATTGTTGGCTGAGCCATCTATTTTGCTAAATAGCTTAGACACTGGAGCAACACTGTAACAAACCATAGCCAAGAATAAGGCTACTAATGCACAGAATGGAAAAATTCCAGAATATGGAAAATGCCTCATTTCTAGAAATTAGATGAAACAAATTCGATGAAATGCCGAAACAAGCTATATTATTTCACTTTAGCTTAGATGAGATAATAAATGAAAGAATAATGCATAATCGCTTAAAAAGAATATTTACAAATATCTTCTCAATATTCCCTGTATATGCACCCACATCAAAAGTAGTTGGCGCAGTAAAAAAAGATTTCCATAATAGGCTCTCAGAGTTAAAGAACACTCTGAGTAATCGTTAAACCCTCGTAACGTTGACTGGCTTAAACGCATTCACTTCATATGTGATAGTATTGTGTTTTGTCGAAACAGTTTTTCTTTCCTCGTCAGAAATTATTGAGATGCTTTAAATTGAGTTCCACCGGTTGCTACAATTGCTTTAAAAACCATGTCCATAGCTAATATAGAGCACCGATCTAAACAAACTTTCCTATGGAACTGCAGTATTGAAATGATAAAGGTTTGAAGCGCTATAATTTTGCAAATAAAAGTATCTGAAAAGATTATAAGTATTCTTTTTTGAAAAAAATTTATAAATCTACTTGAACTTATAAGTAATACACGTATTCAATAAATAATGGCCGACCGACCATATTGTCAAAAATATAACAAATAGTAATTAACATGCTATAAATATTACTTCAAGGATAAAATTAAAATAGGCTAAGTAACTACAAAAACAACTACCTTGTATGAGAAATGCATTTTATATTTCGTTTTAAAAATATTCGGCAGGCCAGTGCCAGTTATTTATGATTTTTATATTTAAAACGCAAAAGTAACAGTTATTTGTGCGTTTCAAAATAAAAAGCAGAATTTTAAGGGTTACTTCTGCGCGAAGAAATAAAAGACAAATAAAATAATTATTTTTGAGGAATATAATATAAAGCAAATTTAATCATTATTTTTTGAGTTTTTTTTTAAAATGCGAGTGATAGTAGTTAAAAGGTAATTTTTATTTCTTTTATGATAACTACTACGGTTCCTGCTTATATGTATTGGGTGTATTACTTAGTTTTTGGATTTTACAAGAGATGACAAGTTCGAAAGTTTGATTAAAATTATTATATTAAATTGTATGATTATATTATTTTTTTGTAAATATAAAATATTAAACTACATTATTAGTACTAATTTATAATAATAAATCTCTTCATATTGTAAAATATTTTAAGTTAACTTTTTTTTTTACACTAAATGGAAAGCAATCATGTGACACTTTAACCCACTAAAACCACCTCTCAGGAATGCATAGAGAATAGATTTCAAGAAAGGGAGCGTGCAGGTCCAAGACTGGGAATCCCATTACAGAAGGATTAGTTACGAATAAACACAGAATAATGCATTGGTGTAACCGCGGTTGTAAAGCGGGAGTAGGAAATGTCGTCCAAATAGAGGCCCAGAAACTATGGAGTTCGCAGTATGTCGGGTGGGATCTGGTGTAGTATTGGCGTGCTAAAGACAACAAATAGTCGTCAAGCCATGAATGAATGGTGCTCTAAAATACTTTAAGACATGTAATAAATATTAAGTCAATGAGAAAAATATAGGATTCGTGGTTGATTTAAATATAAAAAAATGAGTTTTATAGACTTTGTAATATAAAATAATAATTTATAAATATAAATTTATAATAGTTTATAATTCGTCCAGAGGCTGTTGGCTTTTGGCATCATTTTTTAATTATAGGATAATGATAATTTCATGAAGTCATACTACATAAATGAAATGGATCCCTCAATACTTAAATGGACACTTGAACGATCGCAAGTGAAACGATTTTACAAAAAAGAGACAAATCAGACTGCAGCAACTTCAACTATATATTACTCATAAGAAGATCATAGAATGTATTTAGTAATATGTATAAGTATAGTCGATATTCGCGAAGGATATTCTGGACCAATGCCAATATTGATTTAGAACAAATAGATTAACTACTGATCAATATTTGAAAAATATAACTAATATAAACTTGATTTGCATTGCTTTGTTGCCTTTTTAAACGAACTTTCGATAGCATCAAGAAAGCTGGCGAAGTACGTAGTACCAATGTAACTCTCAAATTTTTGAGTTTTGTATAATACAAAACATCTGACTAAATCGTAGAACACCCGTAATAATGAGTTGAATGTCGATAGTCGTAGTACCAATGTAACTCTCAAATTTTTGAGTTTTGTAAAATACAAAACATCTGACTAAATCGTAGAATACCCGTAATAATGAGTTGAATGTCGATAGTCCATACGCTGCTAAAGGAATGAACTCTAACAATGAGCCTTTGTTCATCCTGACCTATACTACTATGATGATGATGAATGTTTCCCTGAAATTATTTACGAAAACTGACGTGCTTACCAACGCCGCGTTATCGAATCTCAGAACGGTTACAAGCTCCTCGGGAAGGTATACAGACCTGCGATCAGTTATTGCTTAGTCTGAAGAAGTGATAAACAATAATCCAGTCAAGGCGCAAAGAGAGGTTATGACGAAATCTCGCAGTTAATAGAGAGTACAAATGCTGACTCAGCCAGTCTCAATATAATAATATTGATTTTTGACAATGACCTTCCGCCCTTTGGCTTTAATTAAGAAATTCAAATATTCCATGTTCCGCAAATGGCTGATGAGAGCGCGGAGAAATACAAAGCGTCTCAAAAAACACTATCTATTTTAATGGTGATTTATATGTTAATATATAAATTTACGTGGAAGAATAAAATTACAGAAAATTTATAAAAATTAAAATTAATTGTGTTTTAATCTACCGTATTTATCTGCATTTATTTTGTTTCTAAGAAGTCGAAACCATAAGATGATTCTCGGGTTTAGGTTCTAATTAATTTATAAAAATTGGGTTTTGATTTTTATGTCAAATTTTATTTTAATCTATATACATTAGACTAATTCAATAATTTGATATATATATGAATATAGTTAATTTTAAACTATAAGAAAATATATATAAAGTAGTTCAAATTTTTCTCCGTGTTTTTTTAAAAAGTTATAAATTAAAATGAATATAATTGAAGTTTCTGCTCGAAAATTTGAAAAGAACTCGATTCCATATGATCTGCTGATCGAGTTAATTTTGATCTTATTTCTGCAGGTAACTGGAACACGAGTCGTCATGAAGAACAGCGGACCACTTGAGAATGACATATCAGCATTGATATTCTATATCACTGTTATTCTACTTTTAAATCGTTTACGTATAGAGGGTCTGGGTAGCCGTTATCTTCAATATCTGTGCTTCGTGTTCCGAGTTGTTGGTGTCGTTCTAATCAGCGAGGTGGCAATGACGATAGGTTGGCCCACAATGAACACATTATTGCGTCAAATATATGAAACCATTGGTAATTAATTTATTAATTTAAGACTTAGTTTCATAACTATTATCTTTGAAGATTTTGGCTTAGACGTGTTGCGTTTATTGGTTGTCCTAAGTTTATTTACTGTAACAATAATTATCACTGGTTGCGGAAACATTCTAAAGGAACAACTCTCTCTATAACCGAAAGAAGGAAATTAAATTTATGAAAGACTGTGGATCCTGCGTTCAAGATTTAAACAATAAATTTCAGTTACTTATGTGCAAAATTAGTTTATTTGATCTTCTAAATATTATATACTCAATGTTATTTCAATTAAATTTCAAATAATTTTTCGCATATTTTGGAGGAATTTGTTTTATTTTGTTATTTCTATTAAATCTTATACTTGGTTGGTATCATTTAGTTTAAATGTTGATATGTATTTAAATATAATTAAATAATAGGTCTGTTCCACGAGCTACTCGTAGTAACTTTGAGTAAACACTGTGTATACACAAGCGCGTTCCACCAGCAAATTTTCAAGAATTTTTGTGTAAATTTTACTTCTGTTTTACTCATGTTTTACTATGAGTAGCTCGTGGAACAGACCTAATATTTAATAAATAAGAAAGGAAAAGTGTATGCAAAAATTTTGCTAGAGTGTAGACAGTGTAAACAGCCTTTAAGAAATTAAATTTAAAGTTATTTGCTTTAAATTACTTTCCATAACACCCTCATGGACCCAGCCAAGAGGGTATATAGCGATGATAGATACATAATAATTTAGAAAATTTTCGTTTTTTTCTTCAATTCGTAAATGATAGAATAATTGATATTATTGACCGGTACCCTGTTAATTACATACATACATATGTCAGTAGAACGACATATTTTTTGTGCGCATCTGCTTATTTTGTGGGGAAATTATTCCGTGGCGCGTCCTAACTACTTCTATGAATACATACTTGTTAAAATTTTAAATAAATATATTGAAACGAATAAAAAATATATATTTGTCATTTGTTTTTATATTGACATATTGACTCCTATAACTTTTATACATAACCATAATAATAATTCCCAATAAAAAAAAAACCATCTTACGTTTTATCTTAGTGGTCAATCAGTGTGGGCATGTGTATATCCCGATAGTCTACGGCAATAATACTAATTCCAATATTTTGTAATTGTGGAGACATTCTTTTTAAGTAGAAACAAATTCATAAATGCTAGAATATAAATAAATATCATGTGGAATTTAAGGCAATTATTCAGGAACTTAATAACTTTTTCCTTTGTTTTTTTTTTTAATATTAATAATTATTATGTAAATTTGAATTATAATCGCAATTATTCCACGCAGATGCACCTAATTCCTTGCGCTTAATACACTTGAACTAGTGTTTAAGAAGGGAGTGGAAAAGTTAGTTACACAATCGCTCGATGATTATATTAAAATCTGCAATTTTTATTTTTTTTCTACAAAATTTAAGTTAAATTTTAAAGTAAATAATAAACTTATTTTATATATTTTTATTGAAAATTTTTTCAATTATTCCCTTAGCGCCAAACACAGCTGACATGTAGAATGCGTTGCCAATTATTTTCACAAAGAAGACCTAGATCATTGTTTGCTAAAACGCAGCTAATAGATCAATAGAAACTAGATCTATTAGAATTAGAAATTGAGCTGCTTCATATTTAATTTAAATAGGGAAATATATGAAAAATTAAAGTTGAACGTATTCAATGAAAAATGTCGTTGGCAATGCGATTTTTTAATATGATCCGAACAAAAACATATAAACGTAAACAAAGAGGTAAAACATTTCATATATAAATATTAAGTTGATAAATATAATACATTACCGTACCGTTTCAGCTATTGAAAAATGTATATACATATATATATATGTATATAAATATACATGTTATATTACCTCAAGTTATTGAAGTTGTATGCATAGTTAATTTAAAATTCATTAATTATATTCCGTTTATACATAAAATATTTTTATTCCAGTAAATGTCAGCAGCGAGTTATGCAGATTCCACTGTAATAATGGATTTCAATTTAATAAGTTCCACTTGTAGATTTGACAGCTCTTTTGACATTTTGAAGCAATAATAACAAATGCACATGTCAAAATAGTAAATGGTAATTAATTTGTTTTAACAACGTATTTATATAAAATAAAACATAATGGCACAGAAAAATAAACATAAATCAAAGACTGTATCAGATAAAATAACTGATTTAATTGTGAGACCGAATGCTGAAGATAGTGCCGAATCTGATGACGAGATAAATGAATTACCGCGTGTTGTTGATTTTGAAGAAGATTATGAATTACCTGATGCGAAAGCCACTGAATTCAGGAAACGTAATATTAAGCTGTTATCCCAACAAAGTGAACGTTATAGAGGAAAATTAGCTTCACGTAAAGACTTTATTAGCGATGAAGAAAGTGAAGCCAGCATTAATAGTGAAGACGACGAATACGAACACTCAAATGATAGCAAAGACGCTTTAAAAGAAGCAGAGGAGTCTGCAAGTAACGCGAGCAGTGATATGGATGAAGTTTCTGAAAATGAACAAAGCGATTTTGATGAGAGTGAAGAAGATTATGATGGTGAAGTAGCTAACACAGATAGTGAAGATGATAACAGTGATGAAGATGACAGCAGTGATGAAGATGAAGAAGCTGATAACACCACTGAAATGGTTGCTGAAAAAAATATTCAAAAGGAAATGCAAAAAGGTTTATGTGTACAAAATCAAGTACGCATTTGGGAAAAATTATTAGAGTTACGTATACAATCACAGAAATTATTAACAAAAGCAAATCAGTTACCCATCATCGAAGACAGTACTGTAGAACTTACAAACACTAGAACTGAAACCACACAAAAGTTGGGTGTTTTATTGAATTCATTTCTGACATTACAAAGTGCACTTACAAATCAATTTTCTGAACTAAAAAGTAATATGCAACACTCGCTAAAGCGTCCATCACCATTCGTTAATAATGAAATGCCACCAGTAAAACGAATTGCTACACATTTACAGGAGCGTTTTAAAGAATTTCAAACATATCGCAATCAAGTTTTACTTAAATGGGATGATCGTACAAAGTTATTAGCGCCCGGTGCTGGCAGTAAAAAGAAATCCCTTCACGATGAGTTTAATGTATTACAGAAAATAGATAATGCTTTAATGAATCGTAGTACACTTATTGAAAAATCGCAATTGCTGAAAAATAATACAAAAACAGCAGAAAACAATAATGAGGATGATGAGGATAGTGAGACACCCAATCCAAATATATATGATGACAGCGAATTTTATCATCAGCAATTACGCGAACTAATTGAGTATAAAGCAAACACGTCCACTAGCATGATGGAGGTGACGAAACAAATGTTGGAATTGCAGAAATTACGTCAGAAGATGAAAAAGAATGTCGACACACGAGCGAGTAAGGGCAGGAAATTACGGTATGTTTTATTATATTAAAATTTATTAAATAAAACTAATTAATGTGTTTAATTTTTACAGTTATATGGTGCATAATAAACTAATAAGTTTTATGGCGCCAATTGATGACACAACGTGGACAGATGAATCAAAGGATGAACTTTACAAATCACTTTTTGTATAATGTATGGATGTAAATAAATTTTTAGATATTGTTCAAATATTTAATTTTATAATAAAATTGTTTTTACTTAATTTATAGACATATAAAAATTTTATTAGTACGATAATACAGTAAAATCTCTGTTAAATGGATGTTCTCATAAGTGGACAACTCTCATAAATGTGCGATACTGCTAGTACCCAATATTCTTTAAACGAGACAATACTCTTAATCTGACAGATCGTTGCTGTATTACACAATATTAGTGTTTCTAATAGCTATTTTAACGTTGTTCATTTGAAGACATTTAGAAGCTCTTTATTGACTAAAAATTTTGTTAATTACAATTATTTGGAAATTAAAAAAGTTATGTATTATTTCACTATGTTTATTCCATATATGTTAAATTAAATATTAATTAGTAATTAGTAACTAGCAACAACGCATGATTAAAAGAAAAGTTTTGATAACAGTATCTGTTCAAGGGAATTTTCACTAGTAATTGGTAGTTTAATCTGATTTATTTGATTTGAATATTAAGTTACTAGTGCTTTGATCATAAACATTTATATTTATATATATAAGTATTTATTTATATTACATTCACAAGTACTTGAGCCTTAATGAAACTAGTTATCAATATAAATATAATTCCTATTGTAGATATATATATAGGATCAAGTGGAAATACTTAAAATAAACATAAAGATCTGTAGGTTTAAAATTCGAATTCATAGTGTCAAGTATTTAATGCCAAAGTCTTGTCACATTTGGGATTGTACATCAAAATGTCTTTTTTCTCACGACTAAACTAATTTCACCACATCTTTCTATTTTGAGTGCAGAGGCTCTGGCCATAAAACTTGATACAATATCGAATTTCTGATCTATATAAACAGTATATAATTGAAGCTGTTAAAAACCTGAAGCGCTATTAGCTTATAGAAATAACTTCATACATTATCCTTACAAAATTAAAATCATATAGGTTCATACATTATCCTAACAAAATTAAAATCATATGGGTTTTCGGGCACGAAGGAATCAAAAGAATTGAACTAGTATATCGAGCTATCACTGTTGCCATCCGTTCTCTCTTGGGCTTAGTCAAACATACATATTCAATACATATTTAATATTATAAGCAAACATATGAAGATGCATGAGCAACGAAATGGTCAACATACATTCATTGCTACAAGTCGTTTAATGCCAGTAGATTCAAAACAATATACCCACAATTATCAATCCGTCAACAATGTCAAACTTTTATTTGATTTCGTGTGGGACATACAAAACATTCGCATAAGTTCCTTTTGAGTGGCGATGAGCCATCTAATTATCATTTTGTAATAGTCCACCATCCATAGATCATATACTTAACAATTGCTTTATCTTTCAACCTATTTAAATTAATATTTTTGTAATATATTTAACCTACCAGACCAGATAATCAGACCGGTACTACTCTATGGGTGTGTCGCATATAGCAAAGCTGCCAATTCTACTATCCAGAAGCTGGAAATTGCTCAAAGTCAAGCTCTCCGAAGACTCTTCAAAGTGCATAGGTACAGCCGCCAAATGACATGCTGAGACACCTTATAATAGATCCGGTCAAAAAATACATAAGGGACAAAGCCCTGAAGCTGAGCTGAGAAAACCGACAGAGTGTCTATTTAGCACTAACTAATCTTAGAATAATTACTAGCCACACAGGGCGGTACGCAGATCTTAGATCAGTCATCGAATAAGCACAAAGCTTTTGAGGAATACATAAATTAGGCAGTGAGAGGCATGGAACTCTGAAGAAACCTCCCAGCTATCAAGGAGTGAAAGTGCCCAGATGCACTAACTCAAAAAAGACTCAACATGAACAGTTACTATTAAAAAATATTTATTTATTTATTTGTAAGTTAACATTAAAATTAATTTTAAAGTAAACTAAGAATAAAGAACTAGAGTACTGGGTATATGCCGCTTTATTGAATTGTAGTCGCTTTTCTTGATTGCGTTGAAAAGACTTCTTATGTTTTGTAATTATTTATAATAAATAAATGAATAAAATAAATAATAATTTAGCCATAAAGTCAGGTATTTATAAAGCATTCTACTGGTAGCTTATCACAAGCTTAAGAGTTATCTGACTTTAATGACAGTATTGCTCAACGGATTTTTGTAGTACTTACCGTACAGCATTCCATTGACCTATATTTGGTGTTTTTTTTTTTTTTTGCAGCAAGGAGGATTGGAATGCCAACGCACTGACCACAATCCGGCGCCTCGGAAGGTGAGTGCCCGACTTGCATGAACTAAACCACTCCCCCTCATTCCTAGAGACCTTTTTCTACCCCGGGACTACGTTAGTATTACTTCAAGGTAGGATCACTATTAGTCATTTAAAACTTGTATTGGTGTGACCTGCGTTCAGGCCCCGCTACTGTTGCAGAGGATTAATATTGCCCTTCATCTTGGTGTGATACAGCTGCTTACTCCAGCTATCTTCTGTCAGAGTCTACTTTTTCCAATCTTAGGCTCTCACACCTAACCCGAATTGGAATGTCGTCAGATTTTGCAATATTGCATTAAAAATTATATCAAAATAATGGTTAACATAAAAATTATAACATATATATTTATCGATTTAAGTGGAAATTTGGTAAAAGTCGCACCCATAGTTCAGATTGTAAGAATGCAAAAATAAAACAACTTATATAAATAGGTAGATACGTTATATGTAATAAGTACATATCTATGAGGAACACACTTAATTTGACCACACTTTTTGACTATTAAATACGAACTTGTACGTCACACAAAATATTCTTTATAAAGTATTTTTTTTTTTTTTAGTTAATTTATTTCATTTTTATATTCGTTTAATGATATTAATTTTGTTTCGGTATTGCAATATTAATTTTTTTTTTGTTTTTGTTTTGTAGGAAATAAATTACATAAAGTTTTTGTTTTTTTACTTTTTTATTAATAATATGAGTACAATTCATTTTTATTTATTTTTATCGACTTATCATAATTGTTATTAACGCTTTAAATGCTTAATCAGCACATTTTCTTACAATTTTTTTTTTTTTTTTGGGTTTTTTAATCTTGTGTTAATACAAATATAATATATTTGTTCTTACAATTGTTTTATATAATTATTTAATATTTCTTGCTGTAAAGTTTCAAGGTAAAAAGCACGTAGGTATAACCATTTTAACTGTTTTTTTTTGTTTTTTTGTTTATTTACTACTTAAGTGAGTTACGAAAAATTGTTTTTATTTCTGTGATGTATCGATTTTTAAATTTAATTTTTATGATTGGTACTAACACACTTTTTCTTCTTCACATATAAAATAAAAATCCAAAATATGTACTATATGGCATGAGAAATTAATTACCACATCAATTAATTAATTCATATTAAACAATAAAAAACAGTAACAATGAATATATTTAATTCATTCATTTATAGAATGTATATCTATAAAATATATTTATAATTTAATAATAAATTTATAATTTATAACACTTGATGTACACGACTGGAGAAGGGGCGCAAACAACAAACGCGTCTGAAGAGACATGCTCTATTAGACCGAGACTCGGTAACAGGTTGTTATGGCTGAGTTGAGGTTGAGTAAGTATAATTTATAGCGCATGTGTTATTATCATTATAATAATATGTAATATATATATATTATTAATTTATAAATATATTTTATATATATACCATAAATATACAGATATAGAAATCAATAATAAAATAAAGTGTATATTTATAATACATATATATTACAATTTTATATATTGAACGTATTTTAAAATACATAATTATTTTAAAAGTAATTCAAAATATAATAAAATTTAATAAATTTTAAAAATTAATTTACAATGACTATTTATAAATTAATTGAAATTAATTTCGTGTGCTATTATTTATTAATCGATAACATCAAATGATCACTAGTTTTATTACTTATAAACTACAATACGTACAATATACGCACCGGAAGTTCATATGACTATTTAGAAAAAATATTGCAGTGATCATACACATTAATTGCATGATCAGATATACATATAAGACTATGGTATTTGTTGTTATTATTGTTATAATATTTGTATATTCATTCATTAATTAATTAATTAATTTATTTGTTAATACTACGTAATTACGGTTGCAGTCCTATGTTAAATTTTTTTCTTATAAAAATTACAATAATATATTACTAGTACATATATATTTTTAGGTTATGTTGTTTATAATAGTCGTAAAAATATTTTAATAAATAAAAACTTAACAGATGTAGTTGTGTCCTATTTTGTATTGTATATATAAATATATATAATATAAATTTATAATATATATATATATATTAATATTTTATTTATTTGCTTATTATTGTTATTATTAAACTAATTAAATGATACCTAATGTATTTAGTATTCGTCGTCTTCATTATAAATAGTTCAATTAAATTATAGAAAATTTTTAATTATTTATTATGAATATAAATTTTTTTTATATATATATCTAAATATTATATAATAAAAATTTTGTCGTATTTTTTATTAAGAAAAATTATTTTTAAGAAATTTTAATATTAATTTTATATAGGATCATATAGGAGCATATAGGATCATATGTAAGTCTAAAAATTAATTTAAATAATCTACAATATACAAATATTGCAATATAAATTTTAAATATATTATATAATTATTAAATAATAAAGTAGTTCTTATAAAATTTATGTTCAATATTTTAATTAAATAAATAATAGAATAATATATAAAAACTATCTTAATTATATTAATTCAATAAATACATTTTTTAAGTTAATTATTTAAAAATATTTTTAAGGTATATATGTATATGTTAAAATTTATAAGTTTTTTATCAAAAATGTATTTAATACTTAATAAATTTAAAAAATCAATTAATATCAAATTTTAAATCGAATAACGAAAAAAATATACATAGCTAAGGCTTTCGGCTATGTGTCATTTTATTGGTAAATAAATAATTGTTTATATGTATTTAAATTCAAATATTATGTAAATAAAATGGGTATTGTAGAATAAAATAAAATATGTTAACTTAAATTTTGTGTTAAAGTCGATTATGATGAAGAAACTAATTTCTAAACAAAAAAAAAATTAATTAAATATTTTCAGCATATAACATATTCGTTAAATTAATTATATCAAATATAATTTAATTAAGTAAATATGTATTTATATAAACAATTATATAAAATAATATTAAAATTTTTATGTTCATGACGAAGAACATATTGTTATTATTATTATAATTCATAGTAATAAAATATAAATTCATATAAATTTAATATATAAATTCAAAATTCAAATATTTTTCAAACAATCTAAATTCTATATTACTTATAATATTAAGTAATATAAAATAGTGTATAATTTACTAAAAAAATTATACTAAAAATGTATATGTTTTATTTAAGATTACAGAATTTTATTAAAATTACAATTTAATAAATAAAAAGCTAATAAATAAAAAACATTGGCATTAATAAAAAATATAAATTTAAATAAATCATAAAACATATAACACAAAATCATAACACATTTTTGAAGACAAAATTTTAGTTTTTAAATATATGATATAGATAAATTTTAAAATATAGTATAATTGCAACGTAATCAAGTAGTAATAAAGCATAAAGATTATTATATTATATATTATATAAAAAAATTATGTTGACAGTAACCTAACTATTTAAAATATAATTAATAAAGATAAAACATATAATTGAATATTAAACAATATTCTTACAAATGATATTCAAAATAGTGTATGATATATAAAATAATTTACAAATTAATATATCAAATAATATATAAAACAATATCTAAAATGTTACAAAAATACGCAAAGAAATATATAAAGTAATATATAAAAAAAATACGTAAAATAATATATAAAAAATATATAAAATAATATATATAAAAAATTTATAAAATAATATATATAAAAAATATATAAATTAATATATAAAATAATATTTAAAATAATATATACAGCAATATCTAAAATAATTCATAAATACGCAAAGAAATATATAAAATAATATATTAAATAATATATAGAATATATCGATTAATATATATAATAACAGGTAAAATAATATATAAATGATATATAAAATAATATGTAAAATAAAATATAAAATAATATATAATATAAAATAATATATAATATAAAATAATATATAATATAAAATAATATATAATATAAAATAATATATAATATAAAATAAATTATATAATAATATATAAAAATATACAGTAAAATTAAACAACGTATAGTAATATGAAAAAATGTACAGTAAAATAAGGCAATTTACAATAAAACTAAACAATATAATTTGAAATAATACATAATAAGTAAAAATACAAGAAATTTTAAGCAAATAATATAACTCATATAACACTACACATACAATAAGACATCATAAAATATTAAATAACTTTAAGAGATGTTAAATATTTAAATATTTAGCATTTTAATTTAGTACAATAAAAAAATTACAATAAATGCATAGAAAACTAATAGAATGCATAGAAAATAAATACATAGAAAACAATTTTTTGATTTATAAAAAAACACGATATATAAATCAAGCACTGTACATAAACACTGTGTATATAATAAAAATCACATAATTTAATAAAATTAAAAACTATAACAAATGCTGAAGATAGATAATTGTTTTGATTTAAAAAAAAAACATGAAGCATAATCCACTAATATAAAATAATAAATAAAAAATTCAAATAAAATGATATAAACATTATTACTTAAAATTTCTTTTAATTGTTAAAGATTTTAAATCAAATACATATTTAATACAAAATAGTTATTTTTAATATCATTTTTGTTGACTTACAAGGTATCCTGTATGCTTATATTACTAATACAAATATTTTGTTAATGCAAATATACGGAACCACTAGTCAAACCATTGTGAAAACTAAATCTAATATTAAATAATTTTTATAATATATATGAGATAAAAAAAATCGAAATTTATTTTAAAGAGATTCTCCATATAATGAATATTGAGTGGATCTTTAACATATATAGTTATATAAATATATTATCGTATATATCTATGTATTCATACATTTTGTTATATGTAACTATTTATTTGTTTATTGAGATTTATGTTTTTTTTTGGTTATAAATATTATATTTCCAATAGTGAAAGTGTTGTTCCATTGCATTTTTGAATTGATTGCCTAATGATTTCATGCTATAGTAATTTTAGGAAAAAAATTTGTAGAACATAAATATAAAATATCTTATAAAATAAGACAAAAAAAAACAATCATTAAAATAATTTTTTAAAGCATGTTTATGAACTCCTATTTTTTGTAATTATATATTAGTATAAATTTTTAATCAGTCTTAAGATTTAGTCAACACAGGAGAATATATGTACAAAACCAATATTAATGGCAAAAGATTCAATTTCGTATTTTAAAATTTAATAAACATATATATATCGAGATTGTTAAAAGAGATTTTACATCTGAAATATCATTTTTTATATTGGATAAGTGTTATACATTGTTTAAATTATGTTTTAAGTTATTTAAAATGTTATTCTGCATATATGGAATGACTAGTGTTTTTTTACGTATATGAACTAAACAAATATTTTATTTTATAAACACAATTTTATTATTTTTAAAAAAGTTGTCATTATAAGAAAGTTTATCAATGCTATTTTATTACTAAAATATTGTATATAAGGTCGGCCAAAACTAACATGATTATTTAAGTATACATGTGTGCGTTATAGGAAAGCAGACTTATCAAATATATATATATAATGGTTATATATTATTATATATTGCATTCTTACAAAAGATTTACTACTAAAGACTGTATGTGATTTTATTTAATAATCAACTTTTAGTTATTGTTTATTTTGCCAACGCATATACATATTTTTTTTTTGTATTATGACAACTTTTAAAAAAATTACTTAATTACTACCACAATATGTTATAAACAAAATAATCTCAATCGTGTCGAAATTTTGGATATCGTTGCCAATAGTTTTAATTTTGTTTAAGAAAGAAACAACATTAAAATAAGTTATTAAATTTTTAAATATAAATACAAATACACATTACATTTCATAAATAATTATATCATTTAAATAAAATAAATATAATTATAATATTGCACTTAAATTTATAAAATACTGGGCACAGGGTTACTGGGGTCTTTTATTGATTTTTAATTAATATAATTTTTATTATTTACTTTTAATTTTTATTGTTGTTATTATTATTATTATTATTATTATCATTAATTATTTATTGAGTTTTTTAATAACAATGGCAAACCAGTTTTGGTTTTTGATTTCGATACAAGTATTGTTGCAGTTTTACCGGTAGCAACAGCATTAACGCCTGTGGCCAATTTGGGTGGTGATAGAGCAGCTGTTGTTGGGGCAGCAGAATTACCAACAGCATTATCAGCAGTCACAACCAATTGATTTGCTGCTACTGCTGCTGCTGCTGCCGCCGCCTCCGTTGTTGTTGTTGTTGTTGTTGGTGTCGTATTAGTAAAATTTGTTAAATTCGTTTTTTTATTAGCACCCATTTGTAGAATTTGTCGTTGATGCAATTCTTGCAACAGTACTGTGTGTTTCTCTAGAAGTTTAGGTGCGTCTGATTGTTTCTGTCTATCGTTATTTGTGTTTATCTGTAAACTACTATTGCAGGTGCTGAGTTGTTCATATAATTTTAGTGTATCATCACAGGTTTCGTAAAGAGATTGTAATTGAGATTGTATAGATGTAACATTAGAGAGTGTACTTTCTGTATCACCTGTGCCGAGATATTTTTTTATGGCGATGGCAGCTGCTGCTGCTGCTGCTGCATGTTCGGCTTCTGAAACCTATAAAAATATAATAAATATATTTAAATAAAATTTAAAAAATATGATTGTGTTTTATTAATTATAGTAACATAAAAAAAAGAAGAAAACAAATCTTGCTTTTTGCTTTTTACTCTTAAAATTTGTCTATATATGTATGCAATATCTATTTCAAGTTTTCTTTAAGCGCTATGCTTCGACTAATAAGACCATATACCATTTTTGTCACTAATTAAAATAATCCTTCTTGTATAATACTTGATCTTCATCAGCTTTTTAGTAACAGATTCCGTTGTAAAAACTAATGTAAAATGTAGAGTAGCTAAAGCCGCATCAACTTTCGTGCAATTTGAAATTATCTGGAACTCTGACTTCATGTCGATATTGTACTATCAGTGCTTCTCTACGGGTATGAGATATCATTAACCGCAAATTCAATTTGCTATAAAAGCAAATCACAAGCTATTATTGGCAGGCATTTTCGACACATTCTAAAAATTTGGTGGTCACATACAATAAATGTTGAACATGGTAACATGGGATACAGACAAATGGAGCTAGTTTATATGGACCAGGCAAAAGATATTCGGAATCAGTGGAAAGAAATGTAACCATCTTTCAAGCAGGAATACACGCTGCATCAACTTCAACCTTGAACGCAACTACTAGAACCATATAATTGCAATACTGACTGACAGCCAGACAGCTACAATGGCACTCATATCCTACCAGGAATACAGACGGCTGGAGCTGGTGTATATGGACCAGGAAAAAGATACTCGAAAGCACTGAGAAGAAATGTAATCATCTTTTAAGCGGAAATATACGCAATAGATAAATGCAACAGTTTCAACCTTGAACGCAACTACCAGAACCATACAATTGCAATACTGACTGACAGTCAGGCAGCTATAATGGCACTCATATCCTACCAGGTGACATTTAAACTGATATGGGAGTGCATTAACAAACTGAACATACTTTGCTGGAACAATCAGGTGCACTTAAAGTGGATTCCGGGGCATGCTGGTATCCAAGGCAATGAAATGGCAGACAAATTTGTAAGAAGAGCCATGGTTTCAATAATGATAGGCCCAGTATCTTTCTGTGATCTAGGCAAAAGAACTCTATCCATTCTTTTGAACGGCGCAGAGAAAAAGAAAGAGAACTCTATTGGGAAATACTACCAAGACTATCACAATTTAAAATGTTTTTATTGACTTACAACCTAAAACGCTTCAACGATTGCATAGAAGAAACAAAGAATAACCTAAGAATTATTACGGGATTACCAAACGGTTACTGTAGATTGAATAACCACCTAACAAATTAGGGAGTCCAATCCAACTCAGACTGCAAATACTGCAGAGAAGCGAGAGATGCTGCATACCATGTGCTAAAGGAATGCCCGGCACTGTTGCACAAGCGGAAGAAACACCTAGGAGGCTACTATATGGAACATACGAATTCAAGACTAGGATATATAACCCCAATACTGTTTTCCATCAAAGAACTTAGACTCTAATCCGACTAAGAGACACAATAAGTTTATAAGGTCGCAGTGTACGTACTATACCTTTTTTTATTATTTTAATAATAATAATACCATAAACACGTTAGCCCACATAATTAATAGCCGCAAATAAAAATAAATTCCACTTTACTCTAAGGAAGTCAGCTCATGAAATCGGAGGCTGCCCACTATATGGCTTTTGTAGTTTTTATGAGGCAATCAATGTCAAAAGTGTGCTACTTAAGAATCCGATATTTCTAATTTTCAGAAATATCGTAACATAACGTCATGTGATCTAGTGAAAAAGTGGATTTTCAGATTTTTCGAAATGCTCATTTTACTCAAAAATTGGTGTGTTGCTGCTTAAGTTTTATTTTGTTTTTTTAAAACAAATATGTGTAATAGTCACAACTTGAACACCATATGATGTTCGAACATTTGCAACCAACTCACTGTGTTCAAGATTAAATATATATGTACTTGTGCATTGAAACGCTCCAACGTTTAAACAGCTCAAATACTTTTTAAAACTCTAATAAAAACCAAACAAATTCTTATAAATACCTTTTTGTGAGAGCTATGCTCTTTTTCTCAAGTACTCTTTGTAGAATGTAGTGCATTGTCCATATCCTTTTGCACACTATACAATTCAGCTAAGTTTTTAGCAAACAATGCATTCAATTCAACCATTTTAGCAATCTAATATCGAAAAGAATATATTTTATATAATATAAAATAAGAAATAAATTAACAAAATTACAGCTTGTTCGTTCGATTTGTCTCGAAGACTTGTGTTAGCAGCTTTTAGTTCAAGCTCTTGATTCATTAACTCATTTTCTAATGATTCAATTCTTCCTTTCAGTAAAGTTATTTCACGACGTAAGTCTTCTGCAATCTCACCGCCACCAGCACCAGGTCCGCCAGGGACTGTAATACCCGTACGTAATAGCTCCATTTCCCGTTTTAAACGAATATTTTCCTCTTTATAAGTATGTAGCTGACGTTTCCACTCATCAACATTTGCAGTTGATTCCTATACAAAATTAAAAAAAATTATTGTAGAAAAGCAACGATTTCTTTCTGATTACTGTTATTCATTTTATTTATGTGTATTGGCTTATGTGAACTTAAAAAAATATATAAAAAAATAAAATATAGACTTTTAAAATAAAAACTTTTCAATACATTATATTCGGTTTAAATATATCGCCGACGGTTTGATATTTTTCTGGTTTCCTTTACAGGATAAATTATTTTATAAACTAATAACAGATTTCCTTGCTGTGTTATATTAGAACGAAATCACAAACCAACTGTAGAATAATTGAATTAATTATATACATTTGTATTTTTAATTGTTAAATTTTAATACTATTTTTTTTAGACGCATTATTTATTGCATGCTTTCATATTATTTTTTCTTGTATATAAAACTTAATCTAGGAACATAATACGGAGAAAGTCATGCTAATGTTAGTCTACGATTTGTATAGGCGAGACTATTTTTTTATATAAAAACTAAAAAACTGAATTTTGTATTTTTCGGGCGAACATATTCCAAAAATAGCCAAATTTTGGCTAGAAATAACATATATTTCCCTAACTTTGCTTCTGCTAAACCAAATGGTAAACAATTGGTGGCCTAAACAAGATCTCTTGGTGCAATATGTATTGCGTACATATACATAAACTATCAGCACTCTATCTAAGATGGACTAAATTACCGCACTTGTTAATAAAAATAACAATTCCAAACTGGTCTTATATACGAATAATTAAATATAAGAAATAATTCCAAGACCACTGATGATTGACAATACTTGAAACATCTGTGGTTAGCCAAAAATTCAATTAATTAAAATATTATAAAAGAATTTTTGGTTGTTGTAGTTCATCATTTTTCGAAACCTCTCTAACGAAGAGAATAGTTTCTATTAAGTAAAATATTCAATACCGTCATATCTGACGTCAAACTACAATTAAAATAAACTAATTACTTAAATTTAATGTAGACTGACAATATAATAATATTAGTCAAAAATGTATTATAAATCTACAAACCTATATTAGGCAACGTCGGTAATACATATATTACCGAATCGAATATAATATTTTTAAATATTATAACCTTACGATTAGTCATCGCTTTTAATCTGACATGCAAGAGTTCTAAACCTGACACCTGAGTTCTAAACCTGGCAGTCCAAACAAATTATGTACGGTCCACTGATGATGAGTACTTGGTAATACTCGAAACAGCGTTGTATGGTCAGCCAAATTTCAACAAATTAACTAAAATTTTTGTTGTTGTCTTTTCATTTCTAACTTCTCCCTTCTTTTCCCTTCTAACTTTTAAATAGTATCTTTTCGCCATAAGACGCGTCACTTTCAACAAAAAAAATTAACGTTACAATTCTACGTTTTTATGTTTTTCTTCTCTAAGTTTTGTTCACATAAGTCCTCACACATTTTGCAAAAATTAAAAATAATAATTGTGTTGAATTTATTACCTGCAAAGCACTTGTTAAACGTATATTATTATTTTTCAAGGTGGCCAGTTCAATTTCCCATTTTTTTGCATTAGCGCAACTATTAAAATAATGATAAAAATTAAAAAAGTTCAAGTGTGAAAACTTATTTGTTACCTCTGAGCCAGTGCCATTTTGAGACGTTCATTTTCATATTTTAGTTGTTGTTCACCTGTAGGTGGACCACCAGTACCGGTATGTACACCGACAACACTACCACCCGAGCCGACTGTAATAGCTGGTGCAGTTGATGTTATATTAGTTGTGGAAAGTTCTTGTTTAATATCAGCTGCTGGCAGCAACTTATGCGACGGACTGTCTGGATTAGCATTTTGAGTATTCGTATTAGACATGTTTGGTGGTTCAACAGTATGAGGATCTATTGCAGTATTATCATTTTGTTGCATACCACCAGAACGGGAAGATATAGGCGACGTATTAGCTGACGTTGTGGGTGTAACCGCTGTAGAACCTGTAATTTATAATTTAATGAAAAGTAATGAAATCTCCTTCTATTTAACGCTTACCGTTTGCGGACTTAATGGCATTTTTAGTAGCTTCTTTCACTTCTTGAAATTTTTCTACAAACTGTTAATAGACAGAAGTTTTTTTTATTTTATAAATATAAAACTAAAATTTGCTATATGAACCTTAGTTAATTCGGCTTCTGAAGCAAAACCAAGTCCATAAACTGTATTAGCACGTACATCACTCCACTGACCAAACTTCTGTGAGGTCTGGGTAAAAGTCATATTGGGCGTTATCGTCGAATTAATAACAGCTTTGCTGCCTTCAACACTGATAATACGATATAAATTTCGAGAGGAATCATAAAAGAAGCTAACGCCGACCGCTTTCATGCTGGCTGTAATCCAGGTACGCTTAGTCTTTGGGTCTATGTGAAAGACATGAGCCTGACAAGTGAAAATTGGCTGTTCACTGTGCAAAATGAAAAAAAGAAAATATTAATATAATTAAAATTTGAATTCAAATGCAAATAATGTGCAATTTAATTTATTATTTATTTCATGTATCGCTTTACACGATACTATACTGTACTATTTTTTGTAAGTTTTAAAAATTTAAGTTTTTGCTATTTCTTCTACACGAATTATTTAAATTTTTAATTTATTACCAAATCCTTTTTTGGCAATACATTGACGTGCAATAAATCCCAAATTGATTTTGACGGGCGGAGGCACTTTTTAGCCAAAACTGCTTTATTTTATGATTTATATTTGTTTACACTCCGGTTTTTTACACATTTTGATTAAATTATGCATTGCATGCGTATTTTATTTAAAACTTACCCCATTTTGCTTTAGAAGTTTATAAATTTCGTATTTATTAATATAGCTGCAAATTCGATTTTTCTAATTATTCTTTTTACTATTTTTCATTGTATGTCAAACATTAAGAAACAAAGATGCAAGGAACACGAAGAATAACAAGTACAACATTTTAGTGTTGGAAAATGTTATTAGTATAGCATGTCAAACTTTTTTAAATGCTCACTTTATGTTTTACTTATGATGATCGAGCGGATGTGCATATGGAAATATACAAAATTCGCAAACAAGTAAATGTGAAATTAATAATTTTTTATTACTTAAATCGCGAATCATTTAAATCGCTACCATTAATTCCCTGAACGCACTTATATGCTTGAATACGTTGATTGATACTAGCGAATTCTTACTTTGTCGAGCTTAAACATATATAATTTATACAAAATTACTACAAAAATAAAAAGAAAAGTTTTATAATTTCATTAACGTAACACCCCTACTTATATAAAATTTTATACAACTTATAATAAATAAAAATTATACTATGAGATATACTTGTATATAATAGATCTGTTCTACGAGCTACTCGTAGTGACTTTGAATAATACTGTGTATACACAAGTGCGTTCCGCTAGCAAAAATTCAGGTAAAAGAGAAGATCTGAGAGAACGTAACACCACTGTCAAAATTTTAAAATAGATCTGTTCCACCAGCTACTGATAGTAAAACTCGAGTAAAACACAAGTAAAGTACAAACTGAGAGCGTAACACAAATAAAGTGCCAAATTACGTTATTCACACAGATTTTCATGGAACAGCTTTATGTAAAGTCTAGTGAGAACACTAATGCCGCACAAATAAACAATACAAAAATTTTAATTCAAACCAAAACAGCTAAAGTAAAACCTATATAGCATTTTCAAATTTCGCCAGGGATGTTACGTTCTCTCAGTTGCTCTTGTGGTGATAACGTAGTATCATTAATCACTCTCATTTACTCGACAATTTGCTAGTGGAACACATTTATGTATACACAGTGTTACTCAAAGTTACTACTAGTACTTCGTGGAACAGACCAAATATCGCATGAAAAATATAAAATTTGTTTTATGAACAAAAAATTGAAGCGAGCGAAATAACAAATTATCACATTTAAAAAAAAAGGAGCTCAAGAACAATGTTACCAACCAAACCTGTGTAATTGATAAGAACTAAATAAACAAAACTCACCGCTTTTGTTTGTTTTGTTGCTATTAAATACACAGGTATGGTTGGTTGTGAATTTCACTTTGACTTAAGTTCGCTTATGTTATCATCACGGTACGTACGGACTAACTGAGCCTTAATACTTTTAGTATATTTGATATTGTGATGTCCCTCTGTTGCACTTCATATATAAATTTCCTATGGATTGCAAAGCTATCATACAGAATGTGCGAAGCAATAACTTTCCATAAGCAATAAGTATAGAATACAAAAGCATTATATTCAAATACATATCCCAGCAAGCATTTTTTGCGATCAAAATTGTTGTATAAAAATTATACATATTTTTATTTTAAACAAATTATCATTTTTATAATTTTGTTGTTCTTTTTTTTTTGTTTTTTTTTTGTTAATATTTATTTGTAATAGTTAAGCAACAAACAAAGAGCATCGCTGGTTTGAAACTGCAAAATTTAATATTCAATATAATAAATGGTAAGTAAATTGTATTTTTAAATGGTTTTTGGATTCATACCAAATATGATGGTGGAAATATATTTAGTTTTTATTTAAAAATTTATGTATGATAATTGAGGAACTGCTTTAATAGTATGTTTCCAATGTCAAGTAAGTTAAGTGGTCTTACGAAGCGAGTGGAAACGTACTATAAGAGGCTTATTTGAAATTTTTTTGAAATGCTGCTGGGTAGTTATATGTTATGTATTGTCAAAAAAGTTTTAATATGTGCTTAGAATATGTTTTCACTGATGAATACATTATTTTTGTTTTAATTCTGCAGTATTTTTTTATTTTTGATTTTCTGTGTATTTTAATATTTTTAAAATAAATACCTACTTTCGATACTCTTATAACTAAAACCGCACTAATTTTAGTCATTTAAAAATATATATTATTTCATTAAACAATCACGATACTCTTAATAATAAATACACATAAGTATAAATATAATCCTTCGATACATTTGCGAGTAGTCATTTACTCCTCAAGCCAGTTCTGGCTAAAAGCTCATTTAGTCGATACGTACCGTAAGAACTTAAGCAAACTTAAGCCAAAGCGACATGCACAGCCAACCATACCCGTATATGTGACAGTAACAAAATAAGCAAACTTCGCGGCTTTTGTTTATTTCGTTTCTATCTAATACACAGGTATGGTTAGTTGTGCATTTCGCTTTGACTTAACTTCTTAATCAAAGCGATTTGTGTGTGTCAAATATTTATTTTGCTTACCTCAACTTCAGGTATGGTAATGGTTTTCGATATTCGGTAACACAAGTAATTTTATTTATCATAACTTTGTTCTGTAGGCAGATTAACACAAACAAAATCAGCTGATTTGAATGTCCACTTCTAATTTTTCGTTTTAATTCAACTGAAAAAGTTCGTTCAAACTTATATGGTTTGTTTTTGCATCGAATACCGAATTAACGAATTATTAAATTCAGTCTCAATATTCAAGTTGCGAGGCCCAAAAACTTCAGTTAACTGTTTCTGGTGGGCAAATTAAATTAAATAAAAATAAATTGATGAAAAGGTTTTTGACAAAGCGAGACAAGAAACCAAAATGTTCATCTAAATCAGGGCTGTCCAGACCAGAAGCAATCGCGGTCTGGATTTAACTAATGTTAAATTTAGTTTTATTAATTTATCAATTTAAATTTATTTATTTGATATATCATAAAAATGAAATAATGTGGTCGTGATCTAAATTACAATTACTTGTGCTGTGTGAATAGGCTATCAAAGATCCAAGAATCAATGAGTCGAGTTCTTAGAGATACCATATATAATATTTCCAAAAAATAATTTGTAATAGTATATGTAGTTAATTAATTTTGAAACAATTATAATGTTGATACACTTTTATTTACAATTAGTAATACGATTTAAGTAATAGTTTTAATTAAAATTATTGTCATTATTAAACTGTATCATGCCCATATATGATTCTGCCCTCTTAAGTGCAGCATACAACTTGAATTAAATATTAATAATGTATATATAAAATATACCGCTAATAAAATAGTTGCGGTTTTAAATTTGTACTATTAAAGAACGTTTTAAGCTATAAACATTTTTCAACTTGTAAAAATGCTTATCAAAATTAACTTATATTTGAAATAGTTTTATATTCACTTTTACTTAGCGTTATTTAAATATCTTGAAACTGTGCAGCCTGCAGGACGGACATTCGGAATATTACAGCTGAATATAAATTTTCGGATTAAATTTCTACTCATTTATAAAATGATATATAATATTGTTATACTATTCGCATATGAATTTAATTGATATGCTTTAATATATATATATATACATAAAATAAATATATTTATGAAAATATGTATATACATATATCCAAATATATACAAAGTATTCGTCATTAACTTCAATGTTCCAACTAAACATTTGATGTTAACTAATATATATCGAACGTGTTATGTATCTAACATTTTACAACAATAGTTCCATATCATATTAATATTATATATAATACATATAAAAATGTCAGAGAATAAAAAATTACCTGACCCAAAGAAATGGTCTCAAATATATAATTAGATGTATAACTATATATGTGTATTTTGTATTTATAGTTCATTGAGTCTATCTTAATGTAATTTCGCTTACTTTTATTACTAAATCTCTAACATTGTTTTCGCAATGAACTTAAACCACTGTTTCACCACGGTAGATTACACTCCGTACTAATCTACTTATTGGTTTTGTGAAACTTTTCCCAATTCAATTAGTTCAATTATGCTCCTGGAACCATCGGAATAAACGTTCATTATCAGTTCATTGACAAATGATTTACATTTAACCTAATTTGTTATATATACATTTCCTGAAGTTTTATATTAGAAATCTGAAGCATGTTTAGATATAGCAAAATTAAGCAATCTGAAAAAAAACCAAGCAGAGACTTTTCATTTTTTAAAAATGGATTAATATCCATCTGTACAAATAATTCATTAAGCACCATTTTTAAAATATTGATTTAGTCACTTCAATTGCCAGTACCCTAATAGTACATTCACACTGTCTCATTTAGGCACTTGTTCATTTAATGAGTGATGACTGAACGTTCACATTATAATGACCTCATTTATGCAGCTGATAAAACTTTTATAAACTTTACTTAATAATATATCACACAAAAAAAATTAAATATATAATTGATACATTAAATCATTTATATACATTTTAATATATGAAAAAAATACATATTCAATTAATAAAAACAAAAAAGTTTTTAAATACTTAGGTGCTTTCTCAGAGCCTTTTTTTTACAGCTCAGCTGTTGTTTGTTTACTTTATATATAAAATATGATACATATTTCAAATTTTCATTTTTCTTGTGGAAAATTTACTTTTAAGGGTTGCATTCGACATTTTTCCTCTTAAACGAGCTAATTTATTGATAATGAGATCATTTATATGAATGGTAAATTATCTTCATTATTATAAAGCCCTATTCCATCAGGAACATAGACTATTTACATAAAATGTTTAATGCTAAAAATCCTAATTCGTTAAATGATTTATTAGTTTCATACCGGATTGTTCTTCTCCAGGTGGTACGAGACCTACCGGGTCTTCTATTGCTTTGAGGATTCCATTTTAGCGCTAAATCATCTTCATTAGCGGTGTTAATGAGCAAACCCGCCTAAATGAGACAATGTAAATGTATTATTAATAACTGAACTAAATAAGAATTTCATTATATTTTCTAAGTATTTCTCACAAAATAAATACTTGTTAACTTTTTTTCTATCTGAAACATTACGTTGTGCACGTGGTGAAGGGTAAGTTTGAGTCAAAGTAGGAAATAAAAACTTTTTCCTTCTACAGTTTGGACTACATTAATCAATTCTTTGTATTTTATAATAGCATTGGCCATGCTTACTTCTGAATTGGTGATGATTTAGGAAAGTTTTGTTTACTAGTTTCTTCAAGGACTGAAAATAATCCTCAAGTTTCCATATAAGTTTTGGCACGTCACGACACACTTGATAAGTTTCACATGTTTTCAAGAAAGAAATACTGCATTTATACTAGACTTTTGTGTGTAATTTTAACTGTCATGTTTGTAATTTTAGCTGTCAATTGTTATTACTTTCAATGCAAAATGAAAGTTTTTAACAGTTAAAATCACAAAAAAAAAATCTTGTGTGAATCCAGTAAAACACTAAATTATTGCTTAAAAATCGCAAGCCATTTAGTTCTGTGACAGAATTAATTTTTATCAATTTTGGAAGATGTACCCCATATAATATGAGATATACTTTTTGTAATAAAAAATATTTCATATAAGTAAAAAAATGAAAACGGAACTTTTAAATCATCATATCGGGAAGAGTTTTCTTTAAAACTTAGCTGATTTTTTGGAACACTGCAACCGAATAAGGAATATTTTTTCACTTGTCTTTAGAATTATGAGCGAGATTGTGATTTTTTTGTAAAAAAAACTGTATTTACCTAACATAATTTTACGAATAAATTTGTCATCATCGTCAAAATTTTTTCTATAACGAATTTTTTATCGTATTTTTTCTATAACGAACTTTTTTTTTTTTTTTTGCAACCACCAATTCTAATTATTGATTCACTCAAACGGCATCAATTGGAATTTCCATATCTGTTTCTTTCAGATTGTATTATATAAATTGCATGTTTTATAATAAAGAAATATTTCAAATATTTAAATCGCGCCCAAAATTTTAGATAGATGAAATTTGTACAAACCCGCCAATAATTGTATAAGTTCTATAAAATACAAAGTATATTTCTGGGAGCTCATTCGGAACAAAGTCGGATATAAAATACAACAATTTGTTTTCTTACATTTATTGATAGAAGATAAAACAATTTAATTTTTTTTTTTTTTAATTTATGTCAAAAAACATATTTTCGCTTTAAATCATCTCGTTTAGCGGTGATTATAATTATATATTTTAACAGTGTGAAATACCATATATTTTTAATTATTAATATAATAATATAATATAATTCATAATACACATTCTTAATTTCTATTGTACGATTTTGACTTTCACAAATACATGTATAAAAATTATATATTTAAGTTCTACTTTTTAAAAAAACGCTCATCTAACATTAAAAAATATGTTGTAATAAATTAAATTAACTCTTTTTTCATATATCGGTACACTTTTCTTTTTTCAAAGATTTAATTTTAAAATTAATTTAATAAACATTTAAATATTTGACTTTTAACTTTTCAAAATGTATATACAATATTTGCAATCATTTTTCTGACTACGCTTAAATATAATCTATTTTAAATGTTTTGCTCACTGTCTAAAAAAATGAATAATAGTACATTCACTCTGTCTTATTTACCATTTGCTCATTTATATTAAATAGTGAACGTTTACATTATAATGATCTCATTTATGCAGCTGATATAACTTCTATAAACTTTACTTAATAATATATCACACAAAAACATTGAATATATAATTGATATATTAAATCATTTATATACATTTTATGTATCAATTATATACCCAATTAATAAAAACAAAAATGTTATCAAGTTTTTACTTCCTCAGCGCCCTTGTTTACAGCTCAGCTTTTGTTTGTTTACATTTTACATATAAAACATATGACAAATATTTGAATTTTTGGTAATTTTTCCTGTGGGAAATTTATTTGTAAGGGTTGCATTCGACATTTTTCGCCTTAAAAGAGCTGATTTGTTGATAATGAGCTCATTTATATGAAAGCACTTTGCATAATAAATCATCTTCATTAGCGGTCTTAGGACGTGTGCGAGTTAGGCTAAGTTGATGCTAAATGATTTTAATAATTTTTTTAATTTATTTTTATTAAGCTGATACTAATCATCTTAATTTAATTGTTTGTTTGTTTGTTTATATTATTGAAGAACAGCAGTGTGTTGGAGTTTCGGGTGCGGCGCCATTCGACTGAAAGTAATATTCATACATGCCCATTTTCTGAAAAAAATATATGTTATTGTTAAATTTTATTTAACAATGTTTACTGACTATAGAAAGTACAAAAGTCCAGCAATTCCTCCGTTTCCTAGCAATTATTGTGGAAAGTATTGCTATTTGCTTTTTCTGTATTTCAAATATATTTTTTCAGTGCATTGCACGACATTTACGATATTCAAATATTGCTTTGTTTTTATTGTTGTTAAATTCAAACACTTTATATAAAATACTTTTCAAATTTTCCGCGTTTTCTGAAATTTTTCTTTGTATTTCATTTATAAAAAAAAAAAAGAAAGTTTTGCTTTTGATATATAAAAGTTCTATCAGCTGCTTAAATGAACTGATTATAATTTATACGTTTCTTTATTAATATAAATGAGCAAGTGCCTAAGACCGTGTGCAAGTTCGAGTAAACTGAATGTAATCTTAGGGAAATAGTATATTATGTCGGTATGGCAACGAATGTTGGTATTTACCAGCATTTCGAGTAGGGTAAATTAGATACAAATTATCTAATTTCACTACATTATCGGCACAACTTAGAATTTCCCTAATTTGGAACGCAACTTACCCTAACTCGCACACGTCCCTAATAGATAAATAAATTGAAAGTTTTTAAACAAAAATAATAAATAAGTGCAATAAATAAATACTTACAAAAGTGCAGTGCAAAAAATTCCTAGGAAATTTTAATTTACTCTACCTTTACTCTAGGCAGCATTCGAAATATTTAACGCTTAATTTATGATAAAATTTAATTTTTCCATTTAAAAATTTTCTCGCATCAATTTTTTATTTTTTTAATATTAGATTTTTTGTAATAGAATAATAAAAAATTAATTTAAAACATTTATTATATTTTTTTGCATTTGCAAAAAAAAAATATTAATAGTAATAATAATTGTATAAAATAAAAGTCCGGCATGGCACTGCTTTTATATTTCAAATGTAGTATTTGCTCTCGACGTACACGGTTGTTATTCTATAAGGTCTTTTTCACTTTTTTGTTTTGTCAAATATGGCGACGACCGGACAAAAAATTTGTTGCTGCTGAAAGTTAAGAAAGATCAATAAAATAACTAAAAAATATGTTGATAGTAATAAATAAATTAAATTGGATTTGGTAGAAATTGTTTAAAAGTAAGTTTTATATAACATAATAGTTTTTGCGTGCGATGATATGTGTAAAATGTGTATGTTTGCGAAACGAAAGGCAAGTCAGAAGAGAAGAAGAAAAAACTGTGTACACCCCGTTTGACAATGCGATGAATACTTTTGTCATTTATAATTTTTTTTTTTTGCGGTAGAAGTGAAAAAAAATTTCTACACTATTTGTGATAACATTGTTCGACTTGGTGTTAATTGAAAAATGTTTATAAATGATTTATAGTACAACTTGACGGTTAGTGCACATATCGGGTACTTTAGTATTGAAATGTGAATGGATAGTTCCGTATTTTTGCAGGTTATTGCATAAATACAATAAAAATGTCAAATATGTGAAGTTGTTGGCGAAAATCTTTTTATGTGTTCAATTAAATAGTGCAACATATGTAATATGCGCGGTATTAATGAAATGTAGTAATAAATATAAACATTGCATGGCATTTAAAACTAATAGCCACAAATATTCGGTTTGTTGATGGTTATTTTGCAATACGCCCTTTACGTTCCCAAGCATGTTACGGTTGGAAGTGAACATATGCACAAGTTACATGTGATAATATAACAAGGAATACCTTCGGATGTACTTTTATTATGTCAATAAGAATATAATTGGTTTGACAAGCTCCGGTTAAAAATGTTAGTGCCATATACCACTATAATTTGTGAATGAACGCAAGTATTAGCACAAATCCTTTGAATCACTAAAACCAAACACTCCTATCGCAAGCTCGTTGACAGGAATTGAAAGCGGCATATATGTGATCTGCTATATATATTATTATTAGATAAAATACCAAACTAACGCTAGCTAGATTTTTTATAAATCATTGAACAAATGACTTACTAGGTGAGGACAGCAATTCCGAACAATTTGGACTCATTTAGGTCATTGAATGGGCCCCATTATGAAGTTATCTGCTATATATATTATTATTAGATAAAATACCAAACTAACGCTAGCTAGGTTTTTTATAAATCATTGAACAAATGACTTACTAGGTGAGGACAGCAATTCCGAACAATTTGGACTCATTTAAGTCGTCGAATGGGCCAATTATGAAGTTATTTAACAACTAACACAGCCATTTAAACAAAGCTACAGATACTGGCATCTGGTCTTGCAGTTTCCTACTATCAATTCAAATCTGCATAACTGGAAAAGTGGTTTTAACGTCCACTACCTCTAATTTTCATTACTAATTTTCAATATAAGATTAGAAACATGGCTGATTTTTTGTGTTAAAACCGAAAATTTTATAGATATAGAAATCTCAATAAGTTTTAGACATTAATAGTGCTTGCAATTCACTAGATCAAAGTAAACCAACTTGACAACTCTATAAACTTGGCTAAGTCTCTAGTTTTATAACTCTGTCAGTAAGAGTTAGTAAGAAAAGAGGTTCCAAGAATTTGAAATATATTCAAAGACGGACACTGGCACATGAAGTGAAATATAGTTTCTTCCTTATCCGCAGAACCAAAATAACAACAAAAGTCATTAAAGGGTAAACTCAGTGCCTTCCTAGCGCGTATTGATCTCTCAGCTCCAATACAATAGTGCTAAACAAGTTACGCATTAGTTAAAACAACTGACTGGTACGTTTCTTATCCATGAGTCCTTAAGTGATCTGCTTTGTTCGCCTGCCTTGCAAACTATGACAAAATCATGATTGACAGAATTTTGGAAATTGTTTGTCACTGTTGACGAGTAACTCAAAGACGTAGACACGGTTCCAGAAATGACCGGGTGTAAGCTTCCAAAAGAGACAACACAATCATATCCCTGCGTGCTACAACAACAACTTATACACAGTAGCTTCATCAGCTCTTGGCTTTATATATTTATTAAGATATTGTAATTGCAATACTTTTTTAAATTTAAAGTTATCACATCCTTTATCGGTACCTTAAACCAAATGCCTTGAACCAAATGCACAGCTTGAAGGTTGGCACAGCTCCTTTTGTACCACCACCTTGTATTTGGTATGCAATTTATTAGTGATCAATGATCTTTCTTAATGTAATGGGCTATAATATTTGAAGCTCTGTTGTTGTAGTTGTCTATAGACAACCATCTATAGATATCTACACAGTTTTGGAATATGGTTAGGTAAATATAAATATGGTTAGGGGAATATAAAGCTTCAATTAAATTCAATTGCTTAACAAAGTTAGAACATACAAATACCTGTTCTTGTTATTATTGTTGCTGTAATATAAAGGATGAATTCGTCTTTTTATAACTATAAGTAATAATTCAATATCAAGACAACCACTTGTCTCAAGATTTACAAATAAAATGTTAGATGTATTAATGTCTTCATCCTAAGCATGACTACCTAGAGTTAATCTCAATTCTTTTCTAAACCACTTTCCAACATCATATCTTATTAACCACTTCACTTATTGAGTCTATTGTTTTTCAGTATTTTTCAAATCATGGTTTTAGGTGATAGTACCCATTTCTTCCTCAATGAGCACTGTTGATGGAAGTGTAATTTACTCTTGGAATTGTAAGCTATCTTTATCATTATAAGAATGTTTTATTTAACAATAAATTGAATGAATATATAAACATATATTTCATATACACCATATAAATAATATACAATATTCCTAATTATTTATATATAAACTTTTTTTTTATTTTTTAGTTTTTGTGTGAGTAACATAAAATGTGGAACATGATGTGCGACGTTATGCCAACCATTTCGGAGGACAGCATTTCCCAACGTTCCTCACAATTTAGCGGCGAAGATGCTAATTTCGAACAGCTTATGGTGTCTATGCTGGACGAAAGGGATAAGTTAATGGATAGCTTGCGTGAGGCACAAGAACGTCTTAGCGAAACTGAAGTAAAACTGCATGATGTAGAAAAGGAACGAGACAGTTTGCAACGTCAAATAAATGCAAACTTGCCACAGGTATCAACAATACATATGTTAACTAATTTATTCTAATAATTATTTAATTTTCATTAAGATTTCGATTTAAGAAGTCATAGTCGTAAAATTTTGCAGAAAAACTGCTTTAAAAGTTGACTTTCTACTGTAAACAGTAATATCAATTTGAAATATGTAAATCGAAGGATTTTAGTTGTATGTTAGAAATAAACTTTAATAATTGTAATAATATTTAAAAACTACTTGTACAAACCCCCATAAATATAGCCTTAGTATGTAATTACAATGGACAAGGATTGCACCAGTTCTTACCTATCATATAGTAAGAACTGTAAACGTACACATATCAGTTACAGTCTAAGACATAACTGTAGATATAATCCTTGTGTTTGTTTGTACTATATAGACTTATGACTTCACTTCTTTCAGATGGTTAGGTCTTTTATCACCTAATTACTCTGACGCAGACCATGTTCAATTATCATTTCCACACTATTCAAAAATTCCAATTTTGAATGGGTGGCATTATTAGTCTGAGATTCGATTCAGTCGTAAAATACATTAAAGATCGTGCACTGAAACTGTTCAACATAATTGACAGTCACAATATCCAAACACTTAACAACCTAAAAACACAGCGAAACCTGATGAACACAGGCAGATACAAAAACATTACATCCATAATTTCATAAAGGTCCCGTATACAGTAATTCTTAGTGTGACTTAAAATTATCCGCGAATAAAATAGACTCAAGATAATGAATCATTAACTCAGGTACACACACATACAAGACTAGTCCAAAATAAATGCTAAATAGTCCTAATAACCAAGTGTAACCTTGGTTGCAGTGGCAGGCCATTAGATAACTTCCATGTACCTCAATTAGCGATTTTTCGCAGTTTTGCTAACCTTACTTTCTACATTTTTATTCTATTATAAACTTGTATCATAATAATTCTATTATCACAATTGTTAGACAACTTGTTGAAGAAATCATTACTTATTATTTATCAATAATGCTGTTAGTTGTTACCTTATTAAGGAAATGAAATAATTATAATTAATTTTTTAAAATTTTAAGGAATTTGCTACATTAACTAAAGAACTAACGCAAGCAAGAGAGGCACTACTAGAAAGAGATGAAGAAATCGGTGAATTGAAAGCAGAACGCAACAATACACGAGTAAGTTTTCTTTTTTAAAAAAAAAATTTTGAAAAAGATCAATATTAAATAAAGTATTTTTATTTGTTTACAGCTTCTCTTAGAACATTTGGAGTGCTTGGTGTCGCGGCATGAACGTTCCTTACGTATGACAGTTGTTAAAAGACAGGCGGCAGCACAAAGTGGCGTCTCCAGTGAAGTTGAGGTTTTAAAAGCTTTAAAAAGTTTATTTGAACATCACAAAGCGCTCGACGAAAAAGTCAGAGAGCGTTTACGCATATCTATAGAAAAAAACAATACCTTAGAGGAGGAGTTAAACTCAACCAAAGAAGAGGTGAATAATTTCAAAATTTTCAGAAATTATATTATTAAAGCTTTATATAATATTTTTATTTTAGCTTCAGCAATATAAATCAGGTGCAATACAAGTCAAACGTGATGCAAATAGTGAGAATGGAGTAACTGAAAAGGTATAACCAGTTTTTTTCTACCACCATTTAATATGTGAACAGAATTGACTAAATGTTTGTAACCATTTGTAGGCTTGTAGCGTGAATGGTGAAACCAATGAAGCAAGTGATTACTCTGCGAAAACTCATGAATTGCAAACAATTATTGAAAAACAAGTAAGTTTATATTAAATTTAATTTTTAAAATCAAAGTAAAACTTGCACTTGTAGTAGTTTTTAATTAGAACAGTGACTAGCCACTACTGTTGTCCAGGTATTGTCATTGAACAATATACTGAGGGTATGACTTTGTAACCATGATATGGTTATGAGGTCGTGTTAGTGACAAAGCTACAGAAGCTGGATTTTTAAGCACAAAGAAAAAGTATATAGCTTAAAAGCCAAGCTTATGAAAATTGCCAAGGCAATCAATTATTGTAATTGCAATCAACTATTGTAATTTTTTATTTTATTTTTTTTTGGAACTTCAGTACTATTTTTGTAGTATTTGTTGACCATTTTTTATAAATAAAATTTATCAATTTTGTCGGGTTTTAGGTCGTGGTTTTAAATTTATATTTTTATATAATAACTTGTATTATGTTATATAAAAAACAAACTAATAAAATAAACCATACTAATACAAACATTCTAATAAAATTTTTCTTTAGACTGCAGAGCTCTCACAATGGCAACGTCGAGTTTCTGATCTTAACAATAAAATCTGTGAACTAGAAGAAAACTTGTCAAGAGTTCAAAAAGATTTGTGTAAGTCTCAAGAACAGTGTTCCAAACTGCAAAGAGATTTACGTGAAAATGTTGCTCAAAAGGAAGATCAGGTATGAAGAGACATTTATAACTTATTGTAAGCAATTAAATTTAATATATGTAAAATTGTTTCATTTTAGGAGGAAAGAATAGCTACACTTGAAAAACGTTACTTAAATGCTCAACGTGAATCCACATCGTTACACGATTTGAATGAAAAACTGGAACAAGAATTACGCCATAAAGAAGCACAACTCAAGGTAAATATTGTAACCTTAATTCAAATTCAAATTATAATTATTAATTCATTATCTTATTCCAAAAAAAAAAAAATTAAATAAAATAAAAATAAAGTTGCACGAAGAAAAAATTTGTGCAATAGAAGAAAAATTAGAATTATCCGAACAAAAACTAGCACAACAAGCTAAGATGCAACCTGATATGGAAGAACAGCTTAAAGCGCGTATGGAGGCTTTAGCTAAGGTAGGAAATAAGGTATGCAAGAACAAATTTGCTTTTACTAGTTTAGAACGTAAAACAACTCAGATTGTAAGTTTGTACTAAATAAATTTAGTAAGTGCGTTATATTAATAAGATCTTTGTTTATTTAATTATTGTTTTGTATTGTTTGTATATATATAAATATTTCAACATATGTTTCTTTAGCATTCTTTAGTACATGCTTGTAATTAGTTTTTAATTTTGTTATTTACTTTATATTAGATTTTGTTAGTAGCTTTTATTTTTATTGTTTTTTTTGCATGTGTATGAATTTAAAAAAAAAAAAAAAAAATGTGAAATACATTTTTTACTACTATATTTTTAGGCTCAAGAACGTCACGGTTCAGCTGAGGATCGTATACAGAGACTAGAAACCACGTTAGAAGAAAAGAACGCCGAAGTTGTGAGACTGAACCAAAGATTAAAAATGAATGAGGAGCATAACATAAGGCTATCGTCAACTGTTGACAAATTACTTTCTGAATCGAATGAACGATTACAGGTTCATTTGAAAGAACGTATGCATGCACTAGATGAGAAGAACTCATTAACGCAGGAACTAGAAAAGGCGCGTAAAATTGCTGAAGAATTGCATCATGAAAAAAGTGAGATATTGAAGGATTTGTCAAAGACACGTTTAGAAATTGAAAATTTCAAGCGGCAATTATTGCAACAAGAAATTGCTTACAATATACAACAAACTGAGGCATTAACCCGTAGTCTTTCACCCAGCAGTGCTGTGGATGGAAATAGTTTTTCACGTAGTGCTTCGCATGCTAGTTTTGAGACGCATTCACTGCGAAGAAATAAATCACGTTTGCAAGAAGAAAATGAAAAATACGCTAGATCAATGGCAGAGCAGGAATGGGAAAAACTGCAGCAGGCACACGCACAGCAAGCTTTTGAAATATCTGTAGCGCCTGAAGTTGATGATGGTGATGTAATATTTGCTGCTACAGATATGATGTCACCTTCAGGTCATACAGACGCACAGACATTAGCAATGATGCTGCAGGAACAGCTTGATGCCATTAACAATGAAATTAGGTATGAATCTATATAACATAAATATTTTTTTTTCTTAATAATTTATATTAATTTTTTGTTTGATAGATTAATTCAGGAAGAAAAACAGTCCACAGAAGCTAGAGCCGAAGAACTGGAGTCACGTGTTGGCAGTTTAGAACATGTAAATTTACTTGCTCGTGGTCGTTCAATGGATAGACAAAGCCCACCTATGAGCGGTCGAAGTACTCCTAATAGCCCGAACAGGGACTACATGCAAAAATACCATACGGTAATATTAAAATTGTTGTTTAGCAGACAAAAAATTTTCATTCAGAAGTATGCACTTATATAAGTACTGTAATATACATATATATGTATAAAATAATTTAATTCATTCATTTATTTGCTAAAATAAAAATCAAAAAATTATAATATATGTAAATTGTTTAAAACAAATCATATCTGAATCATTATGTTAGAAAAGGTTATTGAGCTTTTTTTATACTGTTTTACACTGATCGTGTTAAATATCATATTTTATTTTTAATTTATGAGTCATGATCATTGCGAGTTGTTTGTTTTGATTATAAATTAAAATTAGAAATGTATGACATAGTCTACATAAAAAAAAATTGACTAGTAGCAAGAATTTTATTAGCAATTGAAAACTTATTAAAACGCTAATTAAGCTAGAATGATCTCAGACATTTCTCATGATGGTCACGACAACCGGTTAAAGCAAATGATATAATTGAACAAGTATTGTATTGTATTTTTATATTTGAATTATATGACATTGTTTATATATCAAGTATTGATTTGTGTTTATCACTTATAAATTTTTATAAATATTTATATTCGCATATAGTGCATTCATTGACCGTTAATTTTTTATATTTAAACAGCTTAACTTACCCGTCATGTCAAGTGATGTGTCACGTGATGACATTCACGGTATTTCTACAACTGGTGATTCTAGCTCAGGTGGTGCCGCTTCGCCTTTAACAGCCAGATCAATGCGTTTGGAAAGAGTAGCACAAGCGTTAGCGCATAGTCAAGAAGAGCTTCGAAGGTAATTATGCTGTTGGTATTCAATCTTATGTAAAACTAACACTTTATAATATATTTAAATAGACGTTCCATTGGATTATCTCCAAATCAAGTCGCAAATAATACAAGGTATATTTATTTGACTTTTAATATATTTATTTACTTTTTAATGAAATTATTTTTTTATTATTTTTTAATTTATTAACTTATATTTTATTATTTTTTAATACAATTACAATACTCATCATAATGTATGTATTTTTTTTTTATTTTTTAGTCACATAACATTAGGGCATGGATATGGACTGTCACCAATAAGTTCACGTTACGGCAGTCAAGAATCACTTAGTAGGCATTACAATACTATTGGCTCAATGACCATGTTACAAACACCAACAACAACTGTGGGACGTGATGTTGTTGCTGCTGTACAAAAGAAAAAGGGTATTAAATCAAGCTTGGGAAGATTTTTCAGTAAAAAAGACAAAGTAAAAGGTGTAAAAGACACGCTGCCAGATGGCTCGGCTAGCATGATGTCCATAGGTAATTTATCTATTGGGTTAAGCGAATGTGATTCAAATTATGATGCTATGAGTATGACCGGTGGCATGATGCCTAGAATATCCAGTGTGCCAGGTTCAAAAATATCCTCTGTAGATTATGGACGACAGAAAAAGTATGTGTTTAATAATATTTACCATATATATGTTCAATACTTAAACTAATTTAATAAAAAAATTATTTTTATATTAGGGATCATGACTACAGAAATGATTTGCTGGGCGAAGCCATGAAGGCTGGTACACCGTTTGCGTTATGGAATGGACCCACAATTGTAGCATGGCTAGAATTGTGGGTTGGAATGCCAGCATGGTATGTGGCAGCGTGTCGCGCCAATGTCAAATCTGGTGCAATCATGAGTGCTTTAAGTGACACGGAAATACAAAGAGAAATCGGTATAGAAAATAAATCTTTTATTTAAAAAATTATAATTTAATAAAAGAAAAAAAATATTTTTACAGGTATTAGTAATCCCCTACATAGACTTAAGCTACGTCTTGCCATACAAGAAATGGTTTCATTGACATCACCGTCTGCTCCACAAACATCACGTACAACATTAGCATTTGGTATGTTTATCTAAATTTTATTTCATTTTGTGCAATTTAGAATATATTTTTAAATTTTTTTTAGGTGATATGAACCATGAATGGATAGGAAACTATTGGCTTCCAGGCTTAGGCCTACCGCAATATCGCACAACCTTTATGGAATGTTTAGTTGATGCTCGCATGTTAGATCATTTAACAAAAAAAGATTTACGTGGTCAACTAAAAATGGTAGATAGCTTTCATAGAACAAGCTTACAATATGGTATATCGTGTTTAAAGCGTTTAAATTATGATCGCAATGAACTGGAACACCGGCGTAAAATGTCAGAGAATGGCTTATGTGATGTACTTGTGTGGAGTAATGAACGCGTTATACGCTGGGTGTGCAGTATTGGCCTAAAGGTTTGCTATACTTTTTATTATTTTTTAAAAACTATATGGTATCTTATCATTTATCTGTTTTTTTTTTTAGGAATATGCTAATAACTTACTTGAGTCAGGTGTACATGGAGCACTAATGGCACTCGATGAAAGCTTTGATTCCAATGCTATGGCTTTAGCTTTACAGATTCCAACACAAAATGCACAAGTAAATATAAAAACACTTCATATTAACTGATATAATAGAATTATTTATATTAAAAGACGTTAAATAATATGAAATCATTAATAATTTTTTTATAACATGACGATTTTATCCCAATATATAATTTTGGCTTTTATTCTTATTAATACAGTTTTAAACTTATATAATGATTATATTTAAATATTTTATTATATATATGTATATTATACCGTGGTGCATTATTAAAATATTAACAATTTATCACAATGAGAGCTTATAAGTATGTATAGGTTTTACTGGTTTTTATTTATATAAAATAGAATAGTAATATGAAGATATCATTTTAATATCATTTTAATTATATTATATAAGTTTCATTTAAACTAGTTTTTCGATTTTTTTTATTATTAAATTTTTATTTATTACTTAATTATCTAAGTACGATATTTTTTATTTGTGTACTTGTAAATTGTTTAATTGATTTTGTTTATGAAGTTAAATAATCATCAATATTTTATGTTATGTTATGTTATTTATATTAAACTATCTTTTATTATTTTTAGTTATTTATTTATTTATCAACAATTTATGTAATTAGTTAATTTTATTCCAATAGGTCATATCGCATAATTAAATCCTAATTGTTTGAAAAAATTGTTTCTAACCTTTTCAAAGCTAATTATTATTACTATTAATAGCTGTTTATATTATCTATATTATTTAAACTTATTTTATTTAATTATCTGCTTATAATATATAACAAATATATGTGATTAATTTTTATAATTTAATTTTATTAAACATGCACATTTATTTTATTAAAATTGTAATTGTTATATTACTTTTTATTTAATTACTATTAGTTTAATACTAATAGTTTAATAGTTTAGATTTAAAATGTTTGTTTATTATATTTTATTAAAGCAATTACTTTACCAATTTAATTGTAATTTGTTATTCAATTAATTGTTGTTTTTTTTATTAGTAATTTATTTTCTTACTCATTTCTTTGCTCATCAATTTATGTTTACTTATTATTTAGTTTTACTTTCTATTATTAAGTTCTAATATTTAATATATTTTTTAATCATCATTTGTAATTCAATTATTTTTATTTCAAATTATTTAGCAAAATTTTATATATTATTGAATTAATCTGAATTGGTATTATTTTTTTTCAAATATTTATAATAATTTTGTTTTTAAACAAGCCAATTGCTTATTAGTTAAATAATACTAAGAGTGCTAACTTTAAAATTAATTAATTGTTATTACTCAATTATTTATTATTTGCAATTATTTTTATATTTGTTACTTAATATTAAATTATTATTTCATATGTCATTAAATTTTACTATTTAACTTTTATTTGTTATAATTATTATTTCTCTACTTAATTTATTTTTGAATTAATCTTTATACAATTTAGTTAAGTTATTTATTGTTATTTAATTTACTTTAATTATTTATTATGTAACTACTCTTAGTAAGTAATTGTTTTTATTTAATTTTAGCATATAAGTTCTATATAATTTATTTATTAAGTAAATTAACTTTATAATTAAATATGTTTTCATTATGAGGCTTGTATGGTATCTATTTAATTATTTATTGTTATTTAATTTACTTTAATTATTTATTATATAACTACTCTAAGCAATTATTTTGATTTAATCTTAGCATATAAGTTCTATATAATGTATTTATTATGTAAATAAATTTTATAATTAAATAAGTTTTCATTTGAAATTGTTCTTTATTTAGTTAGTTTTTATGTTGCATAAAATGTTATAATATACAAAAAAGTTTATTTTATTTTTGTTTATATGTAATTTCTTTTTATTAAATGTATATATAAAATAAATAGATTAATATATATAAATTTTTAATATATTTTAAATTTAATAAAATTTAATTTAAACGGACATAAGGTCGATTTTATAAAAAAAATTTTATTAATAATTTGAGTGTTAAATAGCCACCTTTAGCTCTATTAAATTAATTTTATTAAAAAATTTGTCGAAAATACTAATTAATTATTATAAACTTAAACAATAATTTTAGTAAAATTTCCGATATTTGCTAATTTTTAATATTTGTTTCTATATTATAGGCTCGTCATACTCTCGATACGGAGTTCAATAATTTATTACAAATCGCTACAGATCGTCGACCAGAAAGTGATCAACTTAATAAATCTTGATCCAGCTTCTCTCCAGCAGAGACCTTAGTCAATGAGTAATGAGTAAATGTGTTAATGACAAAAAAGCAAAGCTGATGAACAAGGATTTTTATGTACCTATTTATAAACTAATATTTTTTAAAATTATATTTTATTTATTTCCTTAATGCAATGTGAGACAAAAGTATAGCAAAAACTTAAAAAAAATAGTATTATATTTTTGAAGATTTCAGTGGAATCAATATTAAGTTAAATTTTTGACACTTACATATTTATTTGTAAATTTAAAACATTTTTAAATATTTAAATTCCGATAATAATAATTGCGATAACCATTACGCCTATATACCTCCTAAGTGAAATTATAACTAAAATGTATAATCGAAATTGTTGAAGGCAAAAACAAAATTTAGTGTTAAGAACATTTTTTTTTTAAGTTTTCAAAGTCTACAACAAATAGTGTATGCCTACTTCATCTTGAAATTGATTGATAGAAAAACTTAACTAAAATTTAAACTACTTTATACGATAAAAATATAGCAATATATATATAAAAAATTTCATCCTCATCCCTTAATCTTATGTTAAACTTTTCGATAACGTAAAAAAAAAACTAAAAATTATGTCTTAAATGTACCAACAATAACTCAGTGTTATTAAAATATAAAATTTGAACTAAAATTCTATAAAATTATTTAAAATTCATGTATACATTAAATCCAATCATGCGATAACTTTTGATATAAGCTTAATTTAACAGATAAATTAGAATTTAAAATCAATGTACTTTTTCTGTTTAAAAATTAAAAAATTTGGATTCCATCGGAGATGCCACAAAAATTAAAAAATTGTTAACAATTCGATATACGAATAAATATACAGAAAGCAATATTGTGACCACTATATAAAGTTACACAACCACACCAAAAATTTTATATAGATATATGTTTAACATATATATATATTTATATATGTACATATATATTTACTTACATTTACATATACATATATAGATACATATATATATATTGTTAAACATATATATAGAGAGAGATAGAGAGAATAAGAAAGAAATTGAATTTGAAATTGATAGTTGATAGTTGATACGTAATCACAAACCTCAGCAAAACAAAGCAAAGTGAACAATAAAATGGACGGTCTTTATATACACATATGTTTATATACACCACATATATATACAAAGTTATACATAAACTAATTTATAAAAAGGGAAAAAAACTATTTAAGTAACTTAAGCTAACATGAAATCAAAGACAAAAAAGTAAAACTTAAAATATATGAATTGCTTAGTCTTAATATACGTTTTTTTTTATCTAACTTTTTTTGTATTAAAATTTATAAATCGAGTTCCAAAAGAGTCGTCGTAGTTCCATTAAACAATAATCGTTATTCACAATTTTATACAAAACAAGAAAAATTTACAACAGTAATAAAAATACTCGTTAAGACTACATAACGCACGTACCATCTGGTTTTGTACGGACAAATTAGTTATAAAACATATATATAAATATATACATACATACATCTACGCGCTAAACTCATAAAATTTCAGTTGTTACAAATTAAATACATTCTATATATATACACACATTTATATATATATATAAGTTAAAACATAAAATAAGCGTTATACCCCGTTGCTACCTTCGTCTTACTGTATGAAGTTCTAAATAAAAACGAGCAATATATTTTTTGAGCGTACATAAACATCCATTGCCTTACTATTGATCGTAAAATATTTATCTCATCTTCAGCTCACATATCTAGGTACGTACTTGGTTACTGATTTTTAGTTCTTACCACTGACCTATATAAAATTCTTGTTTATTTCATAATAAAACCTTTAGTTGCATGTGTGTAAATGTGAATATGTATTATTTTTTGATCCTGTAAGATAATTAATTTCATAATTTTGTTAAAAAAATTTTATATACCATACTTATGTATACATTTTTTTTTACTTTTTTCTTATATATATTACAAACCTATAATAGACTTTTTATAAGTTATGTATTGTGTATATATCATGTTTACAATATAATATATATCTATATTATACACAATATATATATATATATTTTGTGTATTTTTTACATAAATCATATATTATATATGTTTATATATATGTCAGCGTAGAGCTAATGTTTCTTGGTGTCTTGAGGAAATTTTTTTTTAGACGCGTTTTGAAAATATTTAATAAAAATTAATTTTAGCTGTATTTCGAATGTTTACCAAAAAAAAAATTATCAATATGCCAGGTAAACGTTTTTTTTAAAAATTTTTTTTTTTTTTGTAATATCTATTACTTTTTTAATTTCTTTTTTCTTTTTGATGCCTTGCAGCAAATGCCTTTTCTCTTTAACCCGGGGCAGATATGTACGAGCTATATATATTATAAGAAATAAAATGTATGTCATATTATATATTTTGAATACACAGATATAAATATATTCTGCATATACATTAAGACCGAAAAGTTTTCGGAAATTCTCATTTAAAATTCGCGCGCTGTATATTTTTCGATATTTTAAGTTTATGTAGTTTGGCAGCACTGTCCTTAATTACTATGCCAAAAATGAGCGCGATCTGTCAGACAGTTCGTTTACGGCAGCTGTTGAAACCAGTTCACCTCAGTAGGGCGTTGCGAAAAAAACAATGGAAAAAAATATTGAACAAAGAGTTTGCATCAAATTTTGTGTTTCGAACGAAATTTCGTGTGCAGAATCGTTGCGAATGCTACAAAAGGCTTATGGGGAATCAGTTTTATCGAAAACTCAAGTTTATGAGTGGTACAAAGCCTTCCAGGACGGTCGTACGACCGTCGAAGACATTTCGCAACGCACTACTGAGGTGAACTGGTTTCAACAGCTGCCGTAAACGAACTGTCTGACAGATCGAGCTCATTTTTGGCATAGTAATTAAGGACAGTGCTGCCAAACTACATAAACTTAAAATATCGAAAAATATACAGCGCGCGAATTTTAAATGAGAATTTCCGAAAACTTTTCGTCTTAATGTATGTATAATTACATGTACAACTTATATTAATTATTATATTGTTATAATTAGTATATTTATTAAATATTATTTACTATATACATTAGAAATTTCTAACTAAGTAATAAATCATATATTTTTTAATTAATATTATATTTATAATTTATATCATATTATTATTATATATATATATTATATATATATATATATATTATACATTATATATATATATATATATATATATATATATATATATATTATATATAATATATGTAAATAATATAAATATAAGTAAATAAATATATATATATATATATTACACATTGTTTGTAAATTATGTAATTATATACTTTTTCTATTTTCACAATTAATAATAATTATATATTAAGTATTATACATTTTGTTTGGTTTATCTATTTTAGATTTCTTTAAAAATTTGCGTATATTACATATTTATGTAAAATATGTAATTAATATTACAAATTTTGTACTAATATTTTTATTATTGTATTATATTATATTAATGTTTTCATATGGAACTTCTGTGTAATATATTTTATATATACTATATAAATATATTAATTATGTTTTATATAAGTATAATATAAAATATATACTATATATATATAATATAAATACTATATATAATATAAATATTATATATAATATAAATATTATATTTAGTGAATATATAGACATATGACATAAAGAGATAGTTACTATACAAAAAAGTATATTCGATATAATAAATTTTAAAGATTTTTATATATATTTCAAAATGTGAAACTAATTCTAGCTCATCAAATATTATTGCATTTATAAAAAGGTTTTTAGTGTATATTAATAATCGTTGGAATAATTAAATGAACTATTGTCTTCTTAGGTTTCACTGCCTATTGTATGTCATGGCAGGTTTAAACATGTGAAGCTCTCGTTGGCTCACAAGATGTAACTGCTAAAGATAATCAAAACTTAATAGTATTTCTCAATTTCTTGCCTATTTTTCAAATCTTGCCTATTGCTCAATAGGCAATAGGCAAGATTTTTTTGCTGTTTTAGTGAAATAAAGCAACATATTTTAAGTTATTATTACGCTTTCGAAAAAAGTATATTGGTGATTTTAATATGTTACCAAGCCCCTTGCTTAAAATCATAAATTATTTCCTCATTGGATTATATATTAAAATAATGTAATAATAAAAATTTTATAAAACAAGTTTAAGATAAATATTAAATTTAAATACAATATTGCAGATTTGACAGTTGAAATATGTCTAAAACCCAATCTATATAAAACGCATATAAATGATAATCTTGCTTTTAGGTTTTCTGGGGCCTTTTCATTTCGTCACATATGTCATTTTATATATATCATTAAATTTATATATATGGTATATAAATATATATTTTAAAATATACATAATTAAGTTTTTATGGTATAAACTTCTTATATATCACATATTTTTTTGTTATTATATTTGTTAATATACAATAATAAGTGCGTTACTAATTTTTTTGATATTGATTTATCATAATAAAATATTATGTATTATATTTCTAATATTGCACTTTAGAAAATATGCTCTTTAAATAAATTTTAATAATGTATCGATAATGTGTTCTAAAATGCATAATGTTTTTAAAACATACTTACAAGACCTTTTTTATAATATGTTAATATAACTTTTTTTTTTATAAAATAATTTACTATTTAACGAACTATAATATAATTTATGTAACTTAATTTTGCAAGTTAGAGTAATTATATAATAAATTTGACAAAAGTTAATAATATATGATATAAATGAAATATAATATATTGCAAAACGTATATAAATTATAATAAAACTTAGTTCAAATATATATTTATTTTATATTGAAATATAAAGTGTAAGAATGTGCATAGAATTATTTTCTATTTTACATTATACTTCCTGTAATATATTTTTCATATAATATATATATTATATTTTATTCTATATAGTTTGTGCTATATTATATTTCATGCAATTTATTTTATATATATAATATGCGATTTATATATTAGATTTCATTTAGTATGTTTTATATTATATATCTTATAGTATAAACTGTAAACTATTTCATATTAAATAAATTGTACCATATATTTTATATTATATACTTTAATATTATATCTACTTTATACAATAAATTATATTAAAATTAAATTTTATTATTTGTTCTGTTAATACAAGTATGTGTAAACCATGATAATATATATTTTGTTATATATTTAAGTAACACAAATATTAATAATTGATATTGTATTACATTATTGATATATTATTGATAATATATAACATAACATATTGATAACATACAATGTTATATACATATAAATAAATGTTAATTAATATTTGGTTTATAAATTTTATATTATTTAAAAAAAATATAATTGAAACATGTGTAACAGATAACAGATAAAAAAAAGTAGATATAATATGTAATACGTATTTGTAATTATATACTTTAAAATAGTAATATATATAATTTATCAAAATTTAAATAAATTTAATTAAAAATACGTATTATGTAAATATCCTATTTTATACTTCATCAATTAGGTAAAATATACACCAAAAAATATATGTATGTTTTTTATTATTTATTTGTGTTTTATCTTATTTATATATTTTGTATTTTATTATGTACATTTTATGATGTATTTGTTATATTATACCTTTTAATATAT